CCTCGAGACCGCGGCCGCTGCTGACGCCGCTCGACTCGATTTCGAGAGGACAGCCGCCGCGACCGCCAGCAACGACGCTGCGGCGCTCTCACGAGCCCTCCGAGACGAGGTCAAGGGGCTGCAAGACACGGTCGCAAACCTCGAGACCGCTGAAGTCAGTAGCGGCAGCGGTCTCGAGGTTTGCGACCGTGTCTTGCAGCCCCTTGACCTCGTCTCGGAGGGCTCGTGAGAGCGCCGCAGCGTCGTTGCTGGCGGTCGCGGCGGCTGTCCTCTCGAAATCGAGTCGAGCGGCGTCAGCAGCGGCCGCGGTCTCGAGGTTTGCAACCGTGTCTTGCAGCGCCTTGACGTCGGCTTGGAGGGCTTGAGCGAGAGCAGCAGCGTCGTCGCTGGCGACCTTGGCAGCCGTCCTCTCCGCCGCCAGCCGGGCGGCGTCGATTGCGGCTGAGTGCTGCTGCTCCGTGGCGGTCGAGGACAGCAGAAGCACGTCCTCCTCTCGCCCAGCGATCCGGCTGAGCTGGATGTCGGAGCGCCTTTGGCGGCACGTTACCACGTATCATGGCGGGTGGAAGGGAAGAAGGGGCGTGTGAGTGTGGGGGAGACACTTCGGAGCAACTGTAAAAACACCGACCACAACTATGCAAAGAAACCCCCATGGACATCGAGCGTGTTCGCTCCTCACAGAGGTAGCCATAGCGAAGGGCTTCCGCGGGGAAACCAAAAGAACATTGTTTCAAAATTTCGAAGAACAAACGAGGCGGCGGGGCGGGGTTAATCTTTCAAACTTCGAAGTACGAACGAGGCGGCGGGGTGGGGTATATCTTGTGTTCAAAGCTTATTTCGGCAATTCATTGAAGAGACGTCTTTCCCCACAGGTGGGGGCTGTGGTACAGTGCACTGTCGTGCGGCACCAGTTGCTGTTGTCTCTTTTTGGCCTCGAGGTCCGCATGTTGGCTTTGATGGGCGTTAGCTTGTGTACGATGATGATCCCGTGCGTAGGAAGGCGTGGGCGATTTCGGTCGACCTTCGGTTTATATGCAGTTGTACATCCTGGTCAGAGCAGCTGACACGCACGCCGGCTATGTCCGAGGCTGCTTGCTCGCCTCTGTATATGACAGTTCGGTTCGGTTGCTCTTCACATCTCGAACAACATGGCATCCTATGCTACCTGACGTGAGGCCGTGTTTGTCCGCCTGATCCGTGTACATGACCGCTAGAACTGTCCGCCTGCATGACGAGTTTTGTCCTTTCCCACTACCTTAACCCGTCATCGACCGTGAATCTTGCGTAGAGGCCATGCAGTGGTCTATGGCACGGTAAAACTTACCCTGAGTTCTACAGCAGTTCAAAAAATGTTGTTCTTACGGTCGTCACAAGGTAAGGTACATGGTTCGGGCACACGGACTTGATAACACCTGTAATGGGGCGTGCCCTTTCTCCCTCTTTCGCAGGTCCGTGTCTGTCAGGCGCAGTACCTTAAGAAGGTCCAGATGACCGGAAAACAAGACCCCTATATGCGCGCGAAGCTGCTGTTCAACGGCCACAAGGTGAGAAATTGGGGAGCGCGTTACAGGCATGTCTAGGTTGCTTGTCAAGTGTTGTAGCAATGTTTCGATTTTGACTTACGTTTACAGTATTCCTTTGATTCGGTCTTCGGCACATGAATCGCCGGCGGCCTGGGCCTCGTCCCCTTCAATGAAATCCTTGCCCAAACAACAACATGGCAAGATATCTGGCGGGGGGAGGTAGCGCGGGCGAGAGACGAGGGGGGGGGGGTACTCATAGTCGTGCATGCCGTAGTCGTTAGACCATTGACCTCGCATCCCTACAAGCCGGGACGGAGCACGCCGGGTTCTCACCGGACCAGGCTCTCACATCACCAAGCGCGAAGCGCCGTGAGATATTCGGCGAGTCGCATGAAGGGTGCGCTGCATCCTGCTAAGGGTTTTCGGCATCTTGTGCTTACTTCCCTTGCGTACGGGGACAGCTGCGTATGACTTAATTTATTTTCTGGTGCTTTCACTTCCTGAGACAGTTGTAAGCACTGTGTAACTGCCTCGAGGGTGCTTGACCATTTTAACACAACGTGGTGCGATCATCCCCCTTGCGCGGAGTGAGGGTTCTCCACCCCGCACAACATGATCTACTCGACCACCATTATGGTTACCGCCAAAAAAAAAAACGGAGGTAAAAAAAAAAAACGGTAACCTGGTTGCCGAGTTCACGAAGTGAATTGGCTTGTTTTACAACGTCGTTGCCAAGCGACGAAAACCCAACCCCGATGGCAAACACCGGGGGGGGTAGGGATAAGAAAACAAAGAGGTCTTCTTTTCGATGGTTGTTCTCCGTGTCAGGCTCCACACTGGTGCACACTGTAAGTACAAATTCAACAAACTGCAGCACCGGCAAGATTTGCTGTGAAAAATCCACACAAGTAAGGAGGTGGCCGGCTGGAGAACATCCCCAAGTTGCATGTTCTCGGTAGCCAAGAGGGAGCGAGAGGACGGCGCCTTTTCCCACCGCTACCATGTCGTACTCGCATGACGCTAGCTCTTCGCGTACGGCGAGCGTGGACGCTCGCGCCTGCGCAGTTTCGCGGCGCGATTTCTGCAGCCAGGTTGGTCGTAGTCCCTTCCAACCCCTTCACATCGTCCCGCGAGGCCTAAGCCTTGCGAGACGACGTGGAGGGCTTGCAAGGGACGGTGGCGAACCTCGAGACCGAGACCGCGACCGCTGCTGACGCCGCCCGACTCGCGTCGGAGAGGCCGGCCGCCAGGACCGCCAGCAACGAGACTGCTGCGCTCGCAAGATCGCTTCGAGAAGCAGCATGCATACAGCAGTTGTAGCAGTCCTCAACATTCAAAGGGCTGCACCACATGGCCACGATCGATGCCGCCCGGCCGTTCACTTCGACGCGAGTCGGGCGGCATCGATCGCAGAGTTGCGGTGCAGCCCCTTCATCGTGGAGGACTGCTGCTGCTATTGGACGTCATGTTGTAGGGCGATCTGCTCTAGATACTGTTACGTTGCCATTTATCCATGGGAAAGAGGGGCGTGAGCGTGAGGGAGGATCTCGAGTACTGCTTGTGGATGGGTCGCACGAAGCCGCTGCAACACAGCAGTCACGAGGAACGAAGAAGAGCTACATGGATGTAGCAAGTTGAAGAACGGCCTCTCTCTGTCTAGACTAGTCTACACTACATGTCCATGTACTTGTTCGAACAAAGTATTTATTGATTGCCGTCTTTGCACCCAAGGGTAAATCCATCGGGTTGAAGCCAATACACTCATGGCTACAAAGTATTTATTGATTGCCGTCTTTGCACCCAAGGGTAAATCCATCGGGTTGAAGCCAATACACTCATGGCAAAGGATCCCGCAGTTACCTGGATGGATTGCACGTGCTGTCATGAGATCATCTTCATACCCAAGCGGCAGCAAGTCTTATTCTGAGAGAAGCAGCAGGTAGGGCGACCAGGGCAGAGCGTGGGCTGCTGTGGCAGTGGGCAGCACGAGCCGTGCCGAAGGGGGTCCGTAGAATGAAAAAGTGCCGCAAGGGGGGCTCGAACGTATCGTGTCTGCTGAGTGATCTGTCCTGCAAGGGCGCCCGGGAATCTGCCATAGATGGCAGGAAAGAAACTCCTGCCATAACAAAAAACGCCTCCAGAACCGACTCTACAGAACCAGCGCCTCCAGAAACGACTCTACAGAACCAGATTTCAAACTGAAGCACTGAAGCCGAGAGCGGAGAGCGATGGCACAGACCACCCTGCTACCCTGTAGCACGCACAGCCTCTGTCTGCACGCTGAAACCGCTGTCTAACAACCCCGAGGCACTCTCAGTATGGAGGCTGTTGCCGAGAGCGCTGCGCACGTCGTCGAGAGCGCTGCGCACGTTCCCAAGAGCGCTTCGACGCACGTTGCGGCCGTTGGCATGGACTGCACGAGATCTAGTGGTAACCCGGAGGCTGCTGCCACCGCGGACGACGAGGGCGGTGAGCGCACCACTACCGGCAGTCCGGAGGTCGCTGCTGGCGGCTTGTCAATGGACGAGGTAAGACCGTATACTACTGCTGTAAACGCAATTGCGGAGGTCATCGTTTTGGATCCGCCCGAGGATCGAGGCTCCTTTGCCCGCGGGCACCACGGCGCCGACACTACAGCAGTCGTGTACGTGTACGTGTCGTGTAGGCCCTCCTAAAATCAATCTGTTGCTGAATCGTCTCTTGAGTGCACGATGATCTGTCGTTAGTTCCGCGGGACTTGCTCTGCTGTACTTGACCTGGAGACAACGTTGAAGGTTGTAACTGCTGTTGCAGCTTGTACTAAATACATATAAAAAAAATGTACATGGTATATTTCAGGGTTGTACACGGAGTAGAACCGCTCCGCGGAGCGGTTTTTTTT